ACCTCCATCTTTATCAGACACTGCGACTAAAGCAACTGCAGTTCCTGACTTTGTGTCTTCTTTCACACTTTCCACCAGAGGAGTCACAATAATCTCTGGTGCATTATCATTTTCATCCATAACTTCTATTAAAATTTTACATTGTGTGCTCTTTGGTGGACTGCCTTTATCTCTTGCCTGAACTCGTAATTCAATTGCAGCATTTATATCATGGTCTATTTGACCCTTCACAACAATATCTCCGGTTTCAGGAACCACAGTGAATAGATTTTGCTTTTTTATGTTTCCATGTTCAGCTATGGAGTAAATAATGTCACTGTTGGTGCCCTCATCCAAATCAGTAGCAGTCAAAGAGATGACTTTGGTACCAACAGAAACATTTTCTCTCACCTTGATCTTGTACAAAGGTTTGCTGAAGACAGGCCAGTTGTCATTTATATCCAGTACATTCACTATTACACTTAATGTTCCTGTTTTTGCTGGCTTTCCTCCATCAACAGCTGTCAGTACAAGAGGAATTACTGATTGTTTTTCACGATCTAAAGGTTTTTGGAGCACTAATTCAGCAGACACACTCTGCTCTTCAGTTTGTACGTCAATAGAAAAGTGTTCATTCTTGCTTAGTTTGTAGTCTTTTAGTGTATTAATGCCAATGTCGTCATCTTCAGCTACAGGAATATGAAATCTAGCTCCCGAAACAACATCCTCGGTAATGTTTATCGTTATAACGTTGTCCACAAAATATGGAGCATTATCATTAACATCCAGAACATTAATTTCAATTCTATAAAGGCTATGAGGATTTTGAATAACAGCCTCCAAATTAAGAGCACACTGTTGATGAGCGAAGCATAACTCCTCCCGGTCAATTCTTTCATTCACAAACAACGCTCCCGTTTTCAAATTCACATCAAAATATTTCCTGTTGGAACCAGTCACAAGCTGCAAGATACGAGATTCCAGCTCCTTAACACTGATCTTGAGATCCTTTGCTATATTTCCGACAACAGTTCCCTTATTTACTTCCTCCGAGACCGAATAGATAATCTTGCCGCATGAAGATCCCCATAAACAACAATGCAGAGCTGTTATGACGCACAAATATCTTAAGCTTTCCATAATTGTTTCTTCAAAGCCTCAAAGATTAATCCGTTTAAAAAACGCAATTTTTGTGTCTCACTGCTGCCAGGACCTTAGCCTCTGAAGCCTTTATTATACCTTAACATTTACACATGACTACAGTATATACTGGTTGCTCTTCCGTGGTAAGGAGGAGCCTCATTTTAATAAAAGAAGTGCTTCAAATTCGTGGTCTGCAGCGACATCGCGCGTTTTAACTGCATTATTGTTGGAGATATTTTATTTAAATTGCATTTTTTTCACAGTTTAAATGTATGCTTCAAAAGAAAGGAATTGGTAAATTGCAAGGTATAAATCCAATCAAGACACGTTCGTCTGTAAATAACCCCAGCACTAGTTAAAAAGGGAATACATTTGGATGGTTGTAGGAATCAGATAAGATGAAATGTATTTACATCTAACCAAGATCACCTGAATGTACGGAAAGCAAAGCGAGGACGAAATGTTCATTGTCCATGGTGCTGAAAACTGTTATAGGATAACAACTCCTTAAGACTTCGATATTGTCTTTGTTATTGATAAAGCGCGTTTTATTGTATTTTGTCAATCACCTTTTATTTATACTTGCCTTTTTTCTGTCACTGTATAATAGCAACGACGACAAAGGCAATGCAATTCAGTTCAGCGAAATTAATTAAGAGAAGCGACAGTAATAGCTTGACTCAAAGCCAACGCAAATGCTGTGATAACTACTAAATAAATAAATAACTCTCCAAAATTTTCGAATTGAATGTGTTTTTCTTTTCTTTTCTTTTTTTACACAACTAGGGTTACAAATTATTCTTACCTTCTCGGTGGTCGGAAGAGTTTGAGTTTGTGTAAAAATGTCTTCTCCATTAATGCTGATCAACTCCGCGTCTGCTGGAGGAAACGGCGAGGGGAAAACGACTACATCACTCTTTATTGTGTCTGAACTGAAACACACATCGTACTGTTGTGTGGATTTAGAGAAGGACCAGCTGCCGTCTGGATGTGTGCTGATCACTGGAGCGCTGTACCTGCTGAAACTGCCGTCTGTCCTGTAGCACTTAACTGCTATCAACCCCACGAGACTCAGTAAAAAGATGACAGATACTGAGACAATTAAAATAACCGGACTGTTGTCATTCTCATCCAGAATAAACACATTTACAGTGGCATTACTGCTCAGAGGAGGAACACCGGAGTCTGTTGCCATAACTTGAAACTGCAATCTTTTCGTTTCTTCGTGATTGAATGATTGCAAACTGAATATTTCTCCACTCAAAGAGTTTATATTTATCAGTGTTGTTATAGGAACACTGGAGCTGGAACTGTCTAACAGTGAATATGAAAGTTCTGCGTTCTCACCAGTGTCTGAATCATCAGCTGACACTCTTGTCACCAGACCTCCAGCTTGAATATTTTCACTTATAAAAGCGTCAATTACCTGAGCTGGGAAATGTGGAGCATTGTCATTAACATCAGAGATATGTACAGTTATAAGAGTGCTGCTGGAAAGAGGCGGAGTTCCTTCGTCTGCAGCTGTAATTGTGATGTTATACAGAGAAACACTCTCTCTGTCCAGAGGTCCATCTACCACTAGAGAATAATGATTGTTATATGACATATCCAGTTTGAAAGGATACGAGCCTTTCAGTGCACAGTGTACAATGCCATTTTTACCTCCATCTTTATCAGACACTGTGACTAAAGCAACAGCAGTTCTTGACTTTGTGTCTTCTTTCACAATTTCCAAAAGTGGAGTTAAAGTTATCTCTGGTGCATTATCATTTTCATCCATAACTTCTATAAGCACTTTACATTGTGTGCTCTTTGGGGAATTGCCTCTGTCTCTTGCACGAACTCGCAATTCAATAGCAGCATTCTCCTCGAAGTCAATATGTCCTTTTACAACAATGTCTCCTGTCTCGGGGATAATGGTAAACAAGTTTTGCTTCTTTCCATGATCCACAAATGAGTACACAATTTCACTATTTATGCCTTCATCCAAATCAGAAGCAAACACAGATAAAACTTTAGAACCAGCAGAAACATTTTCTTTTAGTTTAACTTTGTAAAGAGGTTGACTAAACACGGGGTTATTATCATTAATATCCATTACTTTTATAATAATATTTAACGCTCCCGATTTAGGTGGTTTTCCTCCATCTACAGCGGTTAGCACTAACTTAATTATCGCTTGTTTCTCTCGATCTAAAGCCTTATTCAGCACTAACTCAGCAGACACACTCTGGTCTTCACTCTGTGTCTCTAGACTGAAATGTTCATTCGGACTCAGTTTGTACTCTTTCAGCGAATTACTGCCAACATCAGCGTCCTCGGCCACAGGGAGAGGAAATCTCTCTCCTGGACTTGCGTTTTCGGTAATATTCATAGTAAATTCTTTAACAAGAAAATGTGGCGCATTGTCGTTTATTTCCAAGATCTTAATCTCCACCCTGTAAAGATGATGAGGATTTTCAGCGAGGGCCTCTATATTCAAAGAGCATTTCTGACTCGACACGCATAACTCATCACGGTCAATTCTGTCATTAACAAACAGAACGCCAGTTTTCAGATTTACGTCAAAATACTTCTTATTTGATCCAGTCACAATCTCAAGCATACGAGATTCCAGTTCATGAACATTTATGTTCAGGTCTTTCGCTATATTCCCAACAACTGTCCCTTTATTTACCTCTTCCGGTACGGAATAGACGATTTGAGCAGACGCAGAATCCAGCAAAGAAAAGAAAAATATAAATCCACACTCGAAATATCCCATTAAGACCATGATGACCATTCACAAGTGGCTTGGTGACATAAAAAAAGGTAAACGCGAGAGAATCCAGTATTTTTCCTTTACATTCAGGAAACACGAGACGAAATAGAAACCATCATGTCTCAACGACAGATACACTGAAGCTTCGGTCTCAGAACCTTGGTATTAGAGTAGGCTAGTCTATAAACCTTTAACTGACGGTCTGCAGTGACACCACGTGCTGAAATTATGCCATAACAGGAGTATTCCATTTCCAAATCCATAGAAACACATGATGCTTTCGGAACGAAATTACACCACTAAATACAAAACAAAATTAACCAAGACTAAAAATAAAAATATAATAAATCATAATAATCTTACCGTGCCAGAAATGGAGAATTATATGTAAAACACCTCAGAAATGTAACATTTTCACGCTAGAATACGTATTAATGTTCTACTGTCCATGGTGCTGATCGATAATACAGAGTCACACTATAGTTGAGTCAACCACAAAAAACAAAACATATTTCGAAACTGTCAATTGATTTATGGTCAAATGAGTAGTAATTATGTCAGTCCTGATTATGTAATTACAAATGATCACAATTGCGCAAGTTAACTTTGTTAACAAATAGTTATTGAATTACCTGGTGCACGCATAAACACACACACACACACACACACACACACATATATATATAAACATAAAAAAAATATCTGGCAAAATGTCTTACCTCCATATCTTTTGGTAGAGTTTGTGTTAGCGAGAAAGTATCTGCTTCACTTATGCTTATCAACTCGCCATCTACAGCTTGGGCTGGTACAGGAAACACTACTACATCACTCTTTATTGTGTCTGAACTGAAACACACGTCGTACTGTTGTGTGGATTTAGAGAAGGACCAGCTGCCGTCTGGATGTGTGCTGATCACTGGAGCGCTGTACCTGCTGAAACTGCCGTCTGTCCTGTAGCACTTAGCTGCTATCAAACCCACGAGACTCAGTAAAAAGATGACTGAGACTGAGACAATAGCGATGAGCAGATACAGATTCAGATCTGAAAAACTCTCGTCTTTAACAGGAACTTCTCTGAATGATGTCTTTATGTCATCCAGACTCTCAACAACCACAACATCCATGGACATAGTCGCTGAGAGTGATGGCTCTCCATTATCAGACACTGTGATAAGAAGTGGGTGAGTTTTTAAGTCATTGTCACTCATTCGTCTCTTTGTCTTTATTTCTCCAGTGCTGCTTCCAATGCGGAAGAGATTCGTTCCTTTGGGTTCAGTTAGATGATAAGACAGAAGTGCGTTATATCCAGAGTCAGCATCAACAGCTCTGATCTTGGCTACAAAGTATCCCGCTTCAGCAGAGTAGGGAATGTTCTCACTATTAACTGATCCAGGTTCAGAATAAGGCGGTAAAATAACCGGACTGTTGTCATTCTCATCCAGAATAAATACATTTACAGTGGCATTACTGCTCAGAGGAGGAACACCGGAATCTGTTGCCATAACTTGAATCTGAAATCTTTTCGTTTCTTCGTGATTAAATGATTGCAAACTGAATAGTTCTCCACTCAAAGAGTTTATATTTATCAGTGTGATTATAGGAACACTGGAGCTGGAACTGTCTAACAGTGAATATGAAAGTTCTGCGTTTTCACCAGTGTCTGAATCATCAGCGGACACTTTTGTCAC